TGAGTTGCAAACAACTCAGCGGCACACAACAACATCAGCATGCTCATCTTAAACCCCAAAATGCTCCTTTTTAGGACCTAAGCTACCTGAAACACCAGTTCCTGATCACTGTACCCATGTGGTTGTCAGCACACAGGGGCCCCAAGCACAGCAGTGCTGGGATGCTCTTTGGTTTTAGCAGTCTTCAAGAGGCAGTCACCCCTGGGTGGCATCGTGGCATTGAGCACCTTTCTCAGAACATCTACTCTAGATTCTACCATTTACCAGCTACGTTTATAAATGTAACTAATATCTTCCCTCCACCCTGCAATACATCTTGTGTTTAAAATGCATTAAGGTGGGAGGATGTAGATAGAAATTTTTCCTGTTTAATTACTAGCCCAGAATGTTTCATGGAAAGAAATGCAAATTGTATAAACTATGGATTATTCATTTTCTAGCGTTGGGGTAACAGAGCACCACAAATGAGGTGGCTCATGAGAACAGAAATGTCCTGCCTCGCAGTTCTGGAGGGTAGGGTTTAGAATCAAAGCATGGCTGCGTGGATTCCTCCTGAGGAAAAGATCTTCCTTCCTGCCTGTCTTCTAGGCAGCAGTGACAGCCATCAATCCTTGGCCTGTAAATCATCCTCTGGTCTCCTCTGTCTTGACAGGACTTGTTTTCCTTTGTGTGTTTCTTCTCCTTTAAAAGGACACCTCTCTTCCTGGGTTAGGACCAACTCTGCTCCAGTATAACCTCATGTTATGTTATTTAAGATCTTCAGAGATTCTATTTCCAATCAAGGCCTTACAGGTACCAGGGGTTAGGACTTCAACAGGCTTTTTGGGGGGCACACAATTCATTCCATAACAATGGGTGTTTAAAACCAAGAGGCGTCCTATGGTAAACTTTGCTGAGGGGGAAATGTTCTGCAGGATGTGCTAACTAGCATTTAGTGAATGTTTACTATAGATGAGGAAGGCACTTTTCTATGCATTTAAGTGGCCATAGAAATGGAATAAGGAGTTTTGCGATTTATTTTTTATCATAAATAGCCCTATCTGCCTTGTCTTATAAACAGTATATTTTAGAGAAATTTTCACGTAGTACCTGTAAATTTTTTTTTAACCTGCTGCATAGATGTCCACTGTGTAGGCAGCCTCTAGTGCACAGGCGGTTATGCTGCTAACTCAGGAGCCAAACTTCTCTGGTGGTTCTAATCCACTGTCCGCTGCACGGGAGCAAGATGGACAGTCCTCTCCTGTATGATCTGCAGCCTCAGACACCCACTGGATGTGCAGCTATGAGTCTGTTGCAACTTGATGTCAATGAGTTTGTTGGTTTGGGCCATGATATTTTTAGTCCTTTCCCTTTGAGTGAATATTTCCGTAGCTTTTGTCATTATACACAATGCTGTAATAAAGTCCTTGGGCAGGGATCTTGTGCACTGAGCAGACATTTCACTAAGATCAATGATTTAAAGTCAAGAAGCTCCTTCCAGTTCTCTTCTCAGTGCATCGCCAGCACAGCCCAGTGAAGGATGGGTCTGGCGGATAAGCCAGCCTCTTCCTTAGAAGGCAGGAAAAGGAAAAGACCTTCATTTGTCTTAAATTAATGTTTTTGTCCATATGGTTATGGAAGGTACTACTGTTCCCACCAATTCTGCAAGTATTATCATTCCCACATTCTAGATAAGACTGGGGTAGGTGCCGTAGGCTACATCATCAGGATTTGAACCCATATCTATGTCACTCCAAAACCTTCCTGTTCTTTCCATTATCCAAGGGCTCCTGCTCCAAGAATGGAAAGCAACGGTGTGCAGCCTCTACCCAGGCCTCTGAGAGTGCCTCCATAACACCAGCTGCTCTGTCTTCCAGGTGCACCTGGCCGGACAGGTAACCGGGGAAAGCCAGGACCAAAGGGCAAAGCCGGGGCCATTGGGCGGGCCGGCCCTCGCGGCCCCAAGGGGGTCAATGGTGCCCCAGGAAAGCATGGCACACCAGGCAAGAAGGGGCCCAAGGGCAAGAAGGGGGAGCCAGGTCTCCCAGGCCCGTGCAGCTGTGGCAGTGGCCGTGCCAAGTCGGCCTTCTCGGTGGCAGTGACCAAGAGCTACCCACGGGAGCGGCTGCCCATCAAGTTTGACAAGATCCTGATGAACGAGGGCAGCCACTACAATGCATCCAGTGGCAAGTTTGTGTGTGGCGTGCCGGGGATCTACTACTTCACCTATGACATCACCCTGGCCAACAAGCACCTGGCCATCGGCCTGGTGCACAACGGCCAGTACCGCATCCGGACCTTCGACGCCAACACGGGCAACCACGACGTGGCCTCAGGCTCCACCATCCTAGCTCTCAAGGAGGGGGATGAAGTCTGGCTGCAGATCTTCTACTCAGAGCAGAACGGGCTCTTCTATGACCCTTACTGGACCGACAGCCTCTTCACAGGCTTCCTCATCTATGCTGACCAAGAAGACCCCAATGAGGTGTAGATGGGGCTGGTGGTGGGTACCTCTGGGGAGAGGAGCAAGCTTCTGGACTTGTGGCTACAGAGTAAGACCCCAAACAAGCTACTGAGGGTCGGGAGTCAGAAGCTCCTAGCTTCCTCTGCCTCTTTATCCTGCCATCATTAAACTCAAGCTTTTTCATTCCTTCATCCATCTATCCATTCACTGCTATCATGTTGCTTACATTCCAGTGGGAGAAACAAATAACATTACAAACTGTGAGGGATGCCAAGATGGTTGAGAGTAATAGGAATGGCAGGGGGTAGGGAAGAGACTGAGCAATTTCAGTTTGGTTCCCCCCCCTTAGGTCTATTTACATATATACAGTAAAGCCTACACATCCTAAGTGGACAGGTTAGTATGTTTTCACATACCCATCATGCATGCAGATCAAGCTGCAGACAACTTCCAGCCCTCCGGTCAATGTCAGCTTAACATGAGCGGGAGATGGGGCAATCCGAGGTCTGGAGGACAGGGGCTCTTCCTGGCAAAGCAAATTACACGGGCAAAGGCACTGAGACAGACAGGAGCTTAGCATGTTTGAAGAATTTATCATGTTTGACTGAAAGTTAAAGGGCCTGGGAAGAATGAAAAAGGGGAAGAAAGAGATAAGATAGGAGCTGGAAGAATTGGTAATGCCTGCTTAAATCATAAATTCATGGGATTTCACAAAAGTTTCATGACACCCACTCAAGACAGCATATCTGGCTATGAGATCACATAAATGAAAGTATGAGTATAAGGAAACCCCTAAACTGGTTTGACTCAAAATATCAAAATTAAGCCATTTTCAGCTCAAATCACTTTTCAATTAGTGAGGTACAGCAGGACATGGTCATGCATACCTGAGAAGAACTGCCGGGGTCTCACATACCTGAATCTTTCCAGGTGATACCTGGAGGGCCTGAGGGACATGGAAGCCACTGAACTCGGTGCTGTGAGCGCTGCCTCCACTGCTGGAGGGGCCCTGATGGAGCCCAGCTCCATGGCAAGTGCTCTGTTCCACCTCCAGCTGGAAAGGTGGGACTGTCAGTGCCCTTAGGGGGTAGGGGTTGCTGCATGTGGTGATCCTGAAAGGAGTGAGTCCCACCATAAGCGAAGAAACAAGATTTATGTAAAGTAACTCCACTCTTACTGGGCCACAGAAGGTATAAGATTAGGGTAAAAAGCCCAGCTTAGTCCAGGGAGGGGCTTATAGCCCAGGGGAATCAGTGTATGAGTTGGGGCCCTGCTTGGCATCCAATAAGAAGGCCTGCTAGTGAGCTCAAGAAGCATCTTTTTGAACATTTTCCCCTTTCCTTTTTCTTTGTTATTATTTTTAGAAGCACTTTAAGATGCTTCCTTCTCTAGAGATATAAGCAATTGGCTTAGCCTTTTATCACCTTGGTGATAAATCCAGCTTGATCAAGAGGAGTAGGACCTGAAGCTCTGTGATTGCAATTTCTGGCCTTGCATTAAGCCCATGATCACTTGGTCCCCTACCAAGCCTGAAGGCAGGCTGTGGGGGCAGCAGGGGCCCGGTCAGCACTTTGAGGAGACCTCACAGAGCCAGGCCTGGCATCTTGTCTTCCATGGATGTGGTCTGGAGTTGCTAGGCACGGTGATAAGGGAAAGCTTGGTCTATGGCAGATGAGACAGAAGTGCATGATGTCTTTAAAGGGTCTCTTGTAGGTGGAAAGGCTAGGGGTTATTTTCTCATCCCTGTGGGGAATGGCTGCCTCTTTGAAGACACATGAAGATCCTTAACAGAAGATGACTGGGATGAGGCAGCCAGGTGATCCAACGAGGTGAGGCATTTGGCCACCAGTCTCTCCTCCTAACTCGGGCTCCTTGCTGTGAGCATCACAACCTGGGCCTGTCTCTAGGTCTTCAGAACTGTAGGCATAGATTAATACCATTTTGTGAAATAGAATTCCCCTCAGACCCAGGGTCTTTTCTCACCTGAGACCCACTGTGAAAGGCACCTGCGCTCTTCCTGGGAAGCTGCACCACCTGCTGCTCTAACATTACAGCACAGAGTGCTCCAGGCTCAGCCCTCCCAGCCAGCCCGACCCCTTACCAGGGCTTCAGGTGGCACACCTGAAATACGGGGTGAACTCTCTAACTGAAACATCATCCAGCTGACTTCTGGATCCGGACTGTAACTATAGGAGCATGGAGCGCTCACAAAATGTAAGGGGATGAAAAGAAAAACAAACCTCCCCACACACATACGCACAAACAAAAAGACCCTAATAAACAAACAAAACCCCAAGATGAACAAACCTCCCCACACACATACACACAAACAAAAAGACCCTGATTAAACAAACAAAAACCCAGACACAACCCACTGGTGTCCAGTCCCAACTCATAGTAATTCTTCACTGCATTGTAAATCTTTACAGAAGAACTATGGAACAATTGGCGGAACTGAACTGCTGACCTTTTGGTTAGTAGCCCTAACATTATGCCCTACATCACTAGAGTTCCTTAGCCAATAGAAATAATATTTAAATGCTCTATTTTTAAAAATAAAAATCCAATGCAAAAAAAAGGTGATGGGAAAAACACCAATATTTTAAGTAATGCCAGGATCCAATAGGGTGGAGTGATGTAAGGACAGGTCAGATGCCATGTATCCATCAGCAGTGCCGACTCAGGGCCAGCCAAGTCGCCGTCCTGAGAAATCCTGTTCGCCTCTGCCTGTCATCTTCACTCCTTCCACTAGAGGGAGATCGTCCATCACAATCCTGTCCTGAGCTTAGTGATAAGCCTTGCTTCTGAGCGATTTTTTTTTTTTTTTTGGTTTCAGAGCCAAAGGGAAGAAAAGCGAGAGACAGATCTGATCTTTGGTATTATGGGACCATGACCAAGACTGTGAAAAGAGAATGGATAAGAACACCAAAGCCTCACCTCTTCCTAACGTTTCCAGTTAAAGTGGGCTTGCAGGAACAGCCTGGCTTAGCGTGTGAGAGTGGTTGTCCTAGAAACAAATCCATCACCTGCTCTGTGCTCATATCTCTTGTGTGGCTCTGACCAAGTCGTTTAGCTTCTGGAGGTCTCAGATTCTTCTTTATCTGTAAAATGAAGTGTCTGGGCAGATAATCTCAGAGTTTATTTTGGCACTAAACCTTTGTGTTTCTGTCTCCAAAACACAGCTGGAAAAGAGCGTGAATCATTAAATAGCTCGATAAGGCCTCTCCTCCATATTTCTTTTCAAGGAGGGAGGTCCATTCCTTTGGGCTGTGACTTTCTAATACAGCTATCTTTACTTTGCCTTAAAACAAAAACCAAACAGCTTGATGATTATGGTCAGCATGTTCTGAAACATCAGGCTAGTATTTTATTTGTTTCTGAGTGTGAACATTTGAGTGCTGAAGGCTTAACAAATACTGTCACTGTTGTTGTTGTTGTTATGTGCCATCGAGTCGCCTGCGACTCATAGCAACTCTATGTACAACAGCTCTAAAGTCTTCTCTGTCCTCCTGTGCCAATCTCACTGCCTCCGACACACTCATCCCAATTGCCCCAGTCACCGAGTCAATCCATCTCCCAGAGGGCCTTCCCCTGCTGCGCCTGTCCCTCCACCCTCCCAAGCATGATGTCCCTCTCTAAGAACCGGTCTCTCCTTACAACATGAACAAAGTATGTCAGACGAAGCTTCAGAATCCTTGCCTCCAAGGAGCAGCCCGGTTTAACCCTCTCTAGGTTGAATCTGTTTGTTCTCTTAGCAGTCCATGGCACCTTCAGCACTCTTCTCCAACACCAAAGCTCAAAAGCATCAATTCTCCTTCTATCCTCCTTGGTCATTGTCCAGCTCTCTGATGCATAACAGGTGATTGCAAAGACCATGGCCTGTACCAGACACATCTTTGTCTCCAGAGACACACCTTTGCTCTTGAGTACTTTAGAGAGGTCCCTAACAGCAGACTTTCCCATGGCAATACGTCTTTTAATTTCCTGGCTGCTGGTGCCAAGACTGTTGATTGTGGAGCCAAGCAAACTAAAGCTATGTACAATCTCAATCTCTTCACCATCCATCCTGATGCTGCCAATTGGTCCAGTGGTGAGAATCTTTGTCTTCTTGACATTGAGCCTCAATCCATACTGAA